CAATAATTCCACCTGTAAAAATGAGGCTAAAGTTTGCCTAGATCCAGGGGGGTTCGGACTTTTACTTGATCATTCAATAATAGTACCCGACACTTAAAATTGCACTCAGAAGAGTGGGAAGCGTTTCACAGCCTTCTAATGCCGTCCTTACACCAACCCGGTCAGGTGGGCTGGAATTACAATCTCCATATTGCGGGTGGAGGGCTTTAGGCTTTCCTGAAGACCACCGGGACTGCATCACAGTCCTTGAAGTCTGCTCACCTGAGGAGTTCCGGCTCCTGGCTTCGTGTCCTTGCGGCTGTCCACAGCAGCAGTGTCCAAGTTGCTCCGGTATGGTGCCAACTGAGGAAAAGCCAGGAAAAAAAAACAGGGATATGCAGTGATTTTCCCTTGCTTATGGAACGCTCGATAAAACATACAAAATCCTCACGGCTATCTTACTACAGCACCGTTTTAATCATTATGTGTCTTTCTTAAGTCACGCCGCGCCTCCGACGCTCAGCATGACACCGGAGACCAGGCACACCTACACCCCCCCTTCCCATTACACCTCAGAAAACTGGCTCAGTGTTCAATAAGTTTCAGCTTGGTAGATCCCAGGAAGGCTGGGATTTAAGTCATTACCAGCTCTTGGGACGGATCATCACTCTCTCTCCCTCCCCACCCCGGTGCTCATGTACAGGTTTACCTAATGGTGAGGGAGAGTACGGCCTCGAGGAACCCGTGGACAGCCTGCGCCCCACGCCCTGCATGGCATCCGCCGGCACTGGGGAAGAGGAGCCTGTCTTCAAGAAGCCCATGGGGCTGGTATTCGACCGCCTGACCACAGCCGATCTGAAAACGAGTCCAAAAGGGGAACAAACCATCGTTTTGCAAACATCAACATCTACGAATGAAACTAGAGTTTCATTAGCTCCCCTCACTTCCAGGCCACCCCCTTTATCCTTTTAGAACAAGAAAACACTGATGGGAATGCCTCCAAATACTCAGTAGTAAGTAAACCTACTTCCGGAATTCTGGCAAATAGATGGACTGGGATGGCTGATAGGCACTTAACACTCTTGCTTAGATTAAAATGTTATACCTTAAAAAACTTCAGATACAAGGATTCAGATGCACCATGTTTCTGCTGTTTGGCCTGACCTCCCCCACCCCATGTATCTTTTAGACACCCCCCCCCCTCGGGTTTCTGGCTACTGACCTGCAGAGCTTCCAGTCACGCTCGCGTAATTCTGCAGCACACAAGCAAAGTGGGGGAAACATCCATTGCCCCTACCCTATCTTTTCAGGAGCTGAACCGACGAGGAGACAGAGCGCACACAAAGGAAGGGCTTGCGTATCTTACCTTGGTGACCCGTGAGGATTTGAGACGGGGCTGGCGGCAGAGGTCAGGTTCTGCTCGATGCGCTGGTAATTGCGCAGCTGGGTGGGAACCGGGATGGGCGCCGTCTCGCTGCGGGGGGAGACCGGGGGCTGGCACTGCCTGAGGGCACAAGTCAGCGAGAGGGGAAACCAATGCGGGCTGGGAAGCGGCTGCTCTCCAATCTGCACCATTGTCCGGAGTTACTGGGAACCCCAGGAAGAGGCGAAGGGGGCCCCGGGACTCTGCAGTGCAGAGCACCACTTGGACAGCTCCCAGCCGCCTTGCTCACCAAGCGAGACGGAGGACAAGGAGAGCTGCCAGCGAGCTTCCCGCACAAAGAGCACCCGGGGACTTCGGCCTTGGCTGGGAGAATCAATCCCGCAGCTCGGGAAAGCAGGTCAGCTGAACCGAGGCTGGTCCCTCCCCGCCTTCCCCCAAGGCGGGCAGCCCCCGCCCCTCCAGCCCTCTAACGTTTCAAAACAAAGTCATTCTCAGAAAACCCACTGCGGAAAGAGAACAGGAAGTTCGAGGGCAAGGATGGCCGGCCCCCTCCGTTTGTTTGTTCAAGCCACAGAGGGGACGGGGGATTGAGAAAGAACACAGCTTATGCAAGCGGCTCCCTGACTGTCAATAAACCAGCCCGAGAACCACACCTGAGCAACAGAGAAAATCACGGCTTTCAGTCAAGTGGGAAGAGTCCATCAGCCGGTCAAACTCTCCCTTTGGGGCTCTCATACTCTGGGGCTTGCC